CCCATTCTTTTACTCCTTAAGTGTCAGTGACGTCTGTAGGCGCAAAAATAGAAATGACCACAAGATTTACATAAATCTTATTATCCAGTGGTTTCTAAGGTCGCTGAAATCAAATATGTACAAAAAAATTCCTAATTCAAAATAGTGGAACTAATATAGCTCGAAAAAAATTAAAAGAAAGTTGTATTTATTCGGTCCAAATATAATAAAAAATTGCGTTTCAAAAAGAATTTTAAATCCAAGCACTTCAAAATCAACTGGTAAATCAATAAAGCTATGGATGTATATAAATTGACGAACCCAGAGTGCATCACGAGGTCGCCGTAGGATTACACTCCATTTTAATATATTTCATTTTTTTGCCAAATTAAAATTTTGGTTTTGACTTTTTCAATTTACCATGTACATTCGGATTTTGCAGCTTTCAAAACCGCTGACGAACAATTTTTATGTAAATTATTTAATTTTCAGTGAACATATTTCAATATATTCATTTTGATTGTTGAAATTCGAATTTTTTATGCGAACTCAGCAATTCTAACACATACAAGGCCGAGTGGTTATGTAAATCATGACTTCTTAAATGAGAACATTTTTAGGTCAGAACGTTAAATTTGTCCGAACACTTAAAGGGTTAAAAATTGTAATTGTGAGTAGCTCTACACCTAGGGAATAGTGATATGTACTGCGTTTAGGTGTTTGTTATGTCTGCAATTGAATTATTTGTCAGGTTATATGAGGTGACAAAATGAGCTGTCAATTATGTGGAATATGTTTACACTCTCATAATTTTATATACACATAATACGTCATTTATTCCTATCCTCTTATGTATACTTTTAAAAATATATATTTTCAAATTTCTATTCTCATTAATCTCTACATAATCCTGAAACGATTTTTGTTTGTGGTAAAAAGCGAAAATGTAAGATGATAGTACTCCCTCCAACTCCTAACTTACTTAGCACACTGCTGTTGCACATGTGAAATGGACGGCCTGGCGCAACATAGTAAACTTTCTATTGCAATATATCTGGATTTTTTTTCTTACTTTTTCCCATAAAATGTTATGTCTTTTAATTAGCAAAATTATAAGAAATTGTTATACCGGTGAAAATATAAACTTATATCAAATAGTAAGAAAAGAAACATCTGTTCAAACATATATCGCTCCTTCTTAAGAGTATCATCGTGTTTTACGACATTCGCTTTGTAAAACTGTAATTGGGAAGTTTCGTTTACAAAACTGTACTTTGCAAAGTCTTTTTCTATCACCATAACTCGCAACTGTGCTGCAAGGGATGGAATATGAGAACTATGCACACAACAGACAGAGGTAAGAATTAGTTAACACTATTTTTTATTTCAAGATCAATACTAATTTACATCTCGATATTGATTCTTTAATAATGAAGAATATTATTGTAATAAAAGATTGTTTTATATATTTTTTTGTTAATTTTATGCGTAGAATAAGTTGGCAACGTTTGGCCTTTAAACCCTCAGACACCTTGTATAATGAAATATATCGCCTAAACCTGAGGAGACTGCTTGGAATCGAGCAAAAGAAACGGGACGAGAAGTGTTTATAGCAGAAATACTCATAACAAGATTCAACTGCATTTCAACGCGTTGTGTAAAATAACGCTGGGATATCAAAGGGGCGATTCGCCTCTACGATTTGCTCGTGCCGTAGCGGCAAGATTACCAATAGAACTCAAATGCTATATATTTCTGACGTTTTAGTATTTTAGAATCGTGTTTCTGCTCCAAAACGTTTCTCCTTCTAAGTTTTATTCACGACAATGGGATTGTGGGGTGACATACCTAAAACTGCAGACAGGCCAAATTGGCTCCAATCCTCGTTCTTAATAGTTAAGAATCCCCACTATTCGAGTGTTAAATAAAATAACATGGTGTGAAATGTCGGGTGTGTTTCCATAACTTTTCTTAACTCTTTTCTAGAATGACGACCAGGCAGCCAAATTGTACACAAAATTGTAGGTTCACAACGTTTTGATCTGTTTAGGGATCGTCATCAGGTACGTTCTATTAATCTTTAAAGGGTCGGCAGTTTCGCCCAAAAATAGTGGTATTTTCATATTGAGAATTTATTTATTAAGGTCACAAGGTGACTCCAGCTACCAATTCAGATAACACTCTCACTTTCTGGTTACCTTTGAGTTTGCCATCCTACTCAGAAGCTACGCTCTCGGATGGATTCATACAGTTACGTTAATGCTCTCGAAAGATTTATTATTGTTGAGATGAGGTCGAGGTGCTCGGATCTGCCCTGAAGAGATAATCTCGACGTACCGAGTTTCCCAGCAGAGAAGAGTACCCGAAGGAGACGTCTCCACGGATCGACAGAAATCCGGGCGACATAGCGACGCCCCGCTGGAGAGTGGCAAAGGACTGTGGAGAGGGTGGAGATAACGTTTTTGATATGGTCAACGGCAGTGGAGGAACCCCCAGACCCAAGTTGAGGATGTGGGACCCAGCTGTCGCCCGACGCCCTGAGGAAGCGGTCGTGGAGGGTCTCCAAGAGTTACGTCCGATTTGCTAAGGAATGCTCTCGATTTAGTTTAAAGGGACGACTCAAGGGAAAGAATAATAGTTATCCATTATTAGGATCTCGACCAATGAGAATGATTAGGTCTCCAATTTGACTATTGTCAAAGCAATATGTCTTGGGACACCGATCGAGGTGCCTCGAGCTCGCTCGCGCTCCCTTGTCATCTGTTGATAGTTTTTCGTGAAAAGTCTAGAAGGTTCTCGCTTGTGTAATTCTCGAGCTGCTCTCGCAATATCCAGAAAATCCTATAGATTTTGTGCGCGTGCTTCGGAGGTGCTGTGCTGTGCTTTAGTGCAGTACCCACTTGAGTGTCCCTTGGATACAGATTTTATGGATTAGCTGAACCACCTCCTGTAAGGATTCCCAAGTTATTAATTGATGAAAGGAGTTCGATTTTACAGTTCTAATTCGTTCTGCTACGTTCTCAATCACTTGCTCTCTGCTTTCGGCACTATTTACTTGATGCTTACTCCGACCCTCCCTACCTCAACCTAGCAGCCTTAGCGGCTGTGTATTTCCGTAACCGTCCGCTCCCGTTCGTGAATCTAGTTGTGTTTGCTAATTTTATGCGACCCCAAAGATTAGCACCTACGGTTGCGTTTCTCGATTTCACGCGTCCCTAAAAATAAACAGGATCCGTTAAGCTACCGATTTTTCTGATAGATTCCGGCAGAACTCTTGTTTTGACGGAGTTAAGACTGTTTCATTCCAACTCCCAGGTCATACCCCAGTGGTACAAGAATTGACTGGCACCCGTAGGCTCGCGCATACATGGGCGAAGGGTGGACGGACGAAGGTAACGTAGGTTAGTTCTGTAAGATAGTTCTCGGTTTTACGCTCTCAAGATATGTTGCGTAGACTATTAAAACAATCTGAGGTAAAATTACTAAACACGTACAGGAAGCTCTTTTATAGAAACTGTTTATAAAATTTCAAACACATCATTGAATGTTGAACAACTTGTATATTGAAAGTGAAATATACCTGTACACACAATATACCTGTATTTAGCCAGGAACGATTTATATGCAAGTATTTTCAGTCATAAAATATATGATTGCATTACGGTTGAATGAAAATTTTTCAAACACTTTTTAATAATCAGAATCGAATATATTACATTCACTATACCATAGTAAAATTAATGGTTGATTACAATTTTACAAAACAATGTACTGTAACGCGACAAAACGACCAACCTCTCAGTACTCCTATACTGACAGCGCACTCGTTACAAATAGACGACAAGGACGCGCAGCTAGTGTCAACACTAGCCGATAGATGAAAAACGTCTCCCAAAAGTAAATCCGCGGAAAGTAATAGAAAAATAATCCGATAGAGGATTAGCACTTCTCGTTAATAAATATCGGATTATAATTAGTTAAATACCACATTTCAGATCAATTTAATCATTCGAACAGACGAAGTCTAAATTCACTGAGAGGTGCCGCGCAAGAACAGTAAAGTCAGCGTAGATTAAATTCGAAAGGATCACGCGTCGTAAAATCGTTACATCAGTAAGCTCGATTTA